GACTAACACTGTTGATGGGGACCTGGCGCGAAAACAGGGAAGTTGAGTACTGCCGCTGCCAAAGCATCGAAAGGTGCAAATGACATGCCACGAGCCAGGGATGAGATTCGTAGGGGGGGGGACAGGGACTCCGGGGTAGTGAGCCACTCATCTTTCATGAAAAGTTGGAATTTGTAAGATCACAGCGGCCAAAAAACGCCTTGCAGACGAGAGAGCGCAGAGAAAAACAGAAAGTTGACGGGATCAAAGGGGCTGTGCTTAGGTTGTTCGTGGACCAGTGCGTATTGTTACCTCCACGTTATGGCGACGTCTCAAAAGGGCGAGGTGAGCGGCGCTGTGACATTAGCCGGGGATCCAATCGATTTATTGATTCAACATGGAATCATACAGTACATCCATAAGATTGGGAAAACTAGCCAGTTAGTAGTGTACGTTACGATCCACCCTTCAATAAGATAACTGGGAGAATACAAGCAAAACAGCTCTGACGGAGACTTCCAAGTATGTGGGGAACTCCGCCCACTCCGGAAATCAAAAATGTTTTCAACTAGACTGACCTGTTGCAAATACCGTCGAATAGTTGTATGTTAGCGGATGAGACTGGCTCGAATTTGCAGGACATCTTCTCAACACAAGGTCTGTACGACGACGCAAAGGCCGTGCACATTTCGTCCCATTTCGTACCGTCGCTGAAAAGGAGGTTTTCCATGATACCAGGATAGAAATTGTGGGGTAACAACTTACCCAATGATGGAGACTGGTCGGAAGCTGAACGGATCAATAGAGCTTTCGCAGGACAAATACGCGACCATATCCTGTTCAGAGCAGCCGGTGGCGATCGAGACCGAAGGTTTGTCGACCTAAAATCGATCAAATTCTTTGTTGTTCTGCCGACCACTGGTTCTCATCGGGCTTACTCCTGCATCGGTTGTCCATCAGTCGGGCGTAGTCATTCATTGCAGCAAACGAGTACGTCAAAGCATCATCACCGCACGCGTCGCGAACCTGCAAAAGCTGCAGTTAGGTAGAGTGGTTGTGCCAGACTTCAGAAACAGTGCTCTTTGAAAAAGCGTTTTTTTGGGAAAAAAGGAAGGCTAAAGTAAGATGGTGTGGGGCAAAATCGGAGGGGGGGGGGGCGCAATTAATGATGCAACGGTAACGATTACAAATGAATCCAGAACCCCTTTGATGTCAGATAAGCAATTCTGGTTACACCGTTAGTCCAATGGACTTACTCCTATAGCCCCTCTTACGTGCCATTTCTGCGATTATGCGAATAGGCGGATATAGGCGGAAGAAACGGCCGTCGTGGCTTTCGCTACATTGCGGTCTTCCTTTGACAAGGTGAAAAAGAGGAGGGGCGCATAAAAATGACAAGAAGTGTTTCCATCCTACTGTATTGTTTGCCCCCAGTTGAAAAAGGACTCGCACGGTTGGAACCTGGAATCTCTGGCTGGCCATTACACGTAGAGAATGGTAATTTCTATTTGAAAGAACATTAAAAGGGAAAATAGGGCAATATATAGCATTGAGCTAGTTGGGGGTGGGAACCGCCGCAGCAGCACCAGGTTATGCCTCCTTTCTGCATGCCTGAACCCTCACAACGTGGTAGTGCTCTGTGGCATTGGTTACGTAGATGAGAGCACTGACGAACAAGAATGAGTGTGGCTTTGTCTCGTTATTACCCCTCCCCCAACTAAGCGCCAATATTCTGAACGAAAATTGGGGGATGGACGATTTCCCTCTGCTTCTCCGAAGAAAAACTCGTCCACCTTTGAAATGTTCATTAACAGCCATTTCGTTTCATTAACTAGTCGTTTCGTTTATATTTCGTACTACACATGCGAACATTCACGAAACTTCCCCTAAAAAAGATATATGAAGAATAACGAAAACGAACCTGCTTAGCCATGCAGACGGCAGCATTCTGAATGGCTGAACATCGGCTACCAGGTGTCGATGACATAAATTCGGACATGCACGAAGCTCCCTACAAAGAAGGCAGAATAACGTTTAATATGGTGGACTAACAACCTCATTCAAGTTGTGATGCAACGTCATGAAGAAGCAGACGCGAGCGGTGGCAGCGCGCCGTGCCTGAGCATGGCTTTTATCACTGCACTCGCTGAATAATTCATTTCTTCTCAGCTTTGGTCAACAAATATACGAAATTACGTGAGAGTTTTGGTCATTTCACTTGTTACTTAGCAGGTAACCACGCCTCCCAGTGGCCGTTCGCCGTGTGGATGGCATCACTTGGACCATCGTATCATTCTCATCTGTGGGCACTTCGTTTCGAGACAATGATGATGTCGGGCGCATTTGCGGCAGCGTTCAGACTTCGCGATGACGTGCCCTGACACGCTTCGTCGTGTTATGACGCGCTACAGTAGCCAACAGCAATTCGATTCTGTAAGCGGAAATGCAGCCATAGGCTTGTAACGCCGGCCGCTAGTGTTCTGGGAGAGTCAAGAGGAAGGATAAGAAGGTATCAGACTGTGCGAGTAAGCTATGCGTACTCTCCTATTCTCCCATACTCTCGCAACACGCTAGCGACCCGCCCGATCGGTATCGGTCTATGGCTGCTTTCTAGCACTGGAGCACTATGAGAGGCGGTCGTTTGGCGCGATCACATTGCCGTTTACGTGTTTTGACAGGTAATGGTGGGATCTACCAATGTGGGTAACTCGTCCGATTCGCGCTTCAAGTATGCGGATGAGTGAAGAGCCGATGAGTCATCACTCAGCGCGAGCCGCGTAGCCCCCCCCCCCCCTCCCCAATCCATAGCACCCGCACCGCTAAGGTTCCCAGCCAGGTTCCCATATTAATTATTATTGATTAGTTATTATTAAGCAAGTGTCAATTAAAATATTGGACGAGTTGCTCTAGCCAGACGGCGGTCAGCTTAACATGTTTCGGCACGTCAGTGGCAGAATGATCGCGCCAAACGACATACACCCGAGCACTATTGCAAAGATATCGCGTTGAAACGCGTTGCAAACACGTCAACGCATCGGTCTGAACGCCGCCAACGAGGGAACTCAACGACCCAAGCCTGCGCGAAGCGCCAGTGCGCATCCAAGCCTAAGAATGGAAGGGGATCCTACAACGGCCAGTGTTACGGTAGCAGCTCTTCACAGGACTACGAAATCTTTTCAATGAAAAGATAACCCACTGTTTGACTGCTGGCCACCGATTTCAAGCAGATCTTGTAGTGATCATAAGCCTCTCGACTGGCACATAACTGCTCAATCATCTTCTTCAGCGCCATCTGTTCGGCGGATGCGCACACTCTTGTTGAAATCGAGCAACCATCCATTATCGACACATCGGCACAGACCTTAAGAGGGTTATTGTGACTTAAGGTGCAATTACCGTATTCGCTGTATGTACCTGGTCCATATTCTCCATCTCATTGATGAGCGTTATCGGTAGCATACGGTACCGTGTATAGAATGGTTGAGTGCATTGATCGTACGCAACTTGTTTTTCCGGTGTGCACGTGGGAAGCTGTGAACAAAAATTTCGATGGATAATCGATACGATCGATAATCGTCCAAATGCTCACTAGAAAACTAACCTGTGGCTCTACACGTTGCGGTACTTGGGTCCTGTTGACGGGAACGATTGGTGCGGGACCAACGGGGCAGATATCAGGTGATGACATGGCGCGAAGTACCTGAAACTTATTTATTAACTGCTTATCATCCGAACATAGTCGAGAGGTTAGACGTACATTGATGGGCGTTTGGCCACATTTGGCAAGAACAATCTCTTCAGTACAGTCGACAAACTTCGGCAGGATGTTACGGAAGGAGCTCAGCGTGAACTGTTTCACGGTGGATAGTGTTGAGCGGACGCATTTCGCGAATGTTGGTTCTTGTACCTGAAAACGCAAACTCGTCCAAGTGGCTATGTTGACTCGTCCCATGTCAGGCAACCAAGAAGTCTTAAAACATTTCAGTCAGCTTCTATTAGAGAAG